AATAATAAGAGAAAAATTAACAATGGGTTAAAAAGGTAATTTACAAAAAGTGCCAACCTCTTCAGTGAGACACTGTCATGTATGTGTTGGGATTATAAATTGATAAAACCTTTCTGGAGGGCTGGCGATTTAGCTCAGTGGTTTCGCCTCCTGCTGCGCAAGTGCAAGGACCCAAGTTCGATCCCTGTACCAAAAAAAAAAACCTTCCTGGAAAAATATTTATTCTTAATTTTTTGGTACCAGGAATCAAACTCCATTTCAAGGTCCTTAAAATACTTTATATACCTTTTAACCTAACAGTTGGCTTTAGGAATTAATTATATATATTTTTCAAGGTTTAAGTATTAAAATGTTCATTTTAGCAGCATATATAATGCCAAAAACTTAGCAATAATGAAAACAACAGGAATTAATGTGGGGTTGGGGAATGAAACTGTGAAACCAATCGTGATGAAATATTACAGAGCTGTTTAAAGTCATACAGTTATGGGAAAGGATTTTAAGATAATAACTAGATTGGAATAAAAAGCAGGATACAAAGTATTACATAGCACCTTTTTGGCTAATTGAATTTTGGAAGATTACTACCTCTTTATATTTTTTTATTCTTTTCCAGATTTTCTATAATATATATTTTGCAATTAAACAAAAATGACAATTTAAAGTTATTTTCAAAGAACAGTTGATGTTCAAAAGAATATAAATACTATACAGTTGGTTCTTAGATTTTTAATTAAAATAAATTTGAAATGTAGAGATCTGTAGGATATTAACACCATTTATCTTTAGGTGATATAATTTGACTTTTTTTTTTTTTTCTTGGTACCAGGGATCGAACTTGGGACCTTACACTTGCAAGGCAGGTGGCGCAACCACAGAGCTAAATCCCTGGCCCTAATTTGGCTGTTTTTAAACTTTATTTCTATTTATTTCACAACTTTTTTTGCTGTTGTTTTTGGGGGGATTTTTTTATTTGTTTTTTGGTACCAGAGATCGAACTCGGGACCTTTCGCTTGCAAGGCACGCACTGGAACCACTAAGCTAAATCCCCGGCCCTATTTCACAACTTTTGCTCAGTTAACATTACTGTTTTTATAATAAAGTTTAAAAATTAACAATCTTCTTTTAAAATTTATATTTTTACCAAAGAGTTAATAAATTCTAACCATATTTAATCCTCTATTTGATTATGTTCATCGTTTAATTTATATTATTTATATAGTTATTTTTAGATTATGTTCATTCTCACCTTTTAAAAAAATCCCTAATGGGGCCGGGAATTTAGCTCATTGGTTCCGCCGCCTGCGTTGCAAGCGCAAGGTCCCAAGTTTGATCGCTGGTACCAAGAAAAAAAAAATCCCTAATGTTCCTTTTTGTGTTAAAAAGAAAAAAGCTGGGCTGGGGATTTAGCTCAGTGGTTCCACTGCCTGCCTCGAAAGCGCAAGGACTCGAGCTCGATCCCAGTACCAAAAAAAAAGAAAAAGGAAAGAAAGAAAGAAAGAAGCTAGATATGGTGGTCCATGCTTGTAATTCCAGCTACTTGGGATACTGACGCAAGAGGGTCTTAAGTTTGAGGCCACCCTGGGCAACTCAGTGAGACCTTGTCTCAAAATAAAAAGGGTTAGGGATTAGTTTAGTGGTAGAGTACCCCTAGGGTTGATCCTTAATACCAGAAAGGGGATGAGGGTTGGAGGAAGATGAACTATGGTTCCCACCAATTAATTGTATATTTCAGAATAGCTAGTACAGAGGACTCATGATGACTATATTTCCAGTACTAAATAAAAGTCACTATGTAGGTGAAAGAGCACCCACGTTATCATGTTCTTATAAACTATGTCTCTGTTCTTACTTTACTCTTAGGGAGAAGTCTTTTGTTTTCATGTCATATAAGTGAATGTGAATCATGTTCAGTTTCCTTACTCATTTGCCCAATTACTAGCCACCCTCTAGGGGAACTGATCTTTTGTAATATAATATGACAAAACAAACATTAAACCTACTGTTTCTGGGATATTCTCTTCACCAAAACTCAGGAAAAATGAGAGGAAGACGCCTCTTAATGACAGTGAATGCAAATATGTGTTCTCTCAAATAATGAGATAAGACGTCTAAATTCACATTTATTTATTTGATATATATACATGTGCACTATGTATCAGTATATAATATATTTTTGTTTTATGACTATTAAATGTGAGGTTCTGGAATGTGTTTTCAGTTGGCAGAGTTTTGAAAATGTGATTTCAACACCTTGGAGAGAGCAATAACCATCATTAAATTATGCCACTATATTTATTGTCAAAATGCAGCAAAATTAACCTGTTGAAAGCTTTATTTTGCCTTTTTGATTAGTTTGTTTAATAATACTTTCAAATTGTGACCTTTATCATAATTTCTTCCCTTAATAGCTTGGTGCTAACAGTGGTTTGCACATCATCATCTTTGATGAAATTGATGCCATCTGCAAACAGAGAGGGAGCATGGCTGGTAGCACTGGAGTTCATGACACTGTCGTCAATCAGTTGTTGTCCAAAATTGATGGGGTGGAGCAACTAAACAACATCCTTGTCATTGGTGTGTTTACTTTGTTTATAAAGTTCTAGTCTTCCAAAACATGAAACACATTAAGATTTGTGAAGGTTGTTATTTTGCCAGTGTCTCCAAATCAGAATCACTTGACACTGAAGAATTTGACTCATTTAATTCAAAACTTTATAGGTAAAATAAAAGGTGAGTTTTAGTGGCTTCAGTTTATGCTCATGGCTCACTCACAGATGAAAAAGACAGCACAATGGGATGCAGTGATTTTTCACCCTACATTACAGTAGGCCTCCCCAACTCTTCAGAGGGGATCAGGAAGTGAGCTTCAGACCCTATATTACTATTACAACTGCTTCTTTTGACTTTTATATACTGAACTTCTTAAGATGGTTTTTGAGGAGGAAAAAAAATACTGTTTTAGGAAGATTGAAAACCCCTGGCCTATGAAAAAGGGAAGGGACTTTGAAGTCAGAGAGATCATGTTCACATTGCCCCTCTATCCCTTTCACAGGGATATATTTACCCTCTCTGAACCTTACATTTTCTTCTTAATTATTCAAATTTTTTATTACATTTACATTTTTTGCCTTATTTATGATAGTGAAATAGTAAAGCAAAGTCTCCTGGTAATTTCAGTAGAACAGATCGAGAACAAAATGCTGCTTTTAAATTTGAGAATAAGTTGTTTTTGTATTTGACTGTTATAAAACATCCTCTCAGCTTGTTAGAGAAATTACTCTTTTTGTGTATACTAAGGGGACATTTTATCTTATTCTTTAAGCTCTGATCATTTGTTTATTGTTTTAACATTTGCATTCAGGAATGACCAATAGACCAGATCTGATAGATGAGGCTCTCCTTCGACCTGGAAGACTGGAAGTTAAAATGGAGATAGGTAAGCAGATCTGTTACTGATGGATGTGTGTGTCTGTGTGTACTTATACATATGTAAATGCATGTAGCAGAGTTCATTGACAGGAGCAATGTCACATAACTTAATATTTGTTAGAAAAGTTACATCATGAGAACCAGTTGTTTACGTGTTTGAATACCTAGAGAGATTATAATCTCTGATGAGTTCTGGAAACTGGGAAAATGTCTGATCTGTTTTTATCAGGCTTGCCAGATGAAAAAGGTCGACTACAGATCCTTCACATCCACACAGCAAGGATGAGAGATCATCAGTTACTCTCTACTGACGTAGACATTAAAGAACTGGCTGTGGAAACCAAGAATTTCAGTGGTGCTGAACTGGAGGGTCTGGTGCGAGCAGCACAGTCCACTGCTATGAACAGACATATAAAGGTCAGGAAAAGCAATTTAAATCAATTAGGCATTTGCTGTCCTCTAAATACCAAGCTGGCATTCTTTCTCTTTCTTTTCAAGCATGCAGATTGCTAGATTAATGCTGACACTTGATAGAGCAGTGAGATGGTAAAAATAGTTAAGAATCACTTGTACACTGTTAAATCTACAGAATAGCAGGAAGAAAGGCAGTGGTAGCATCTGCCCAGTGATAACCGCCAACTCACCTATCTTAGGTTGCCAGCATCTGACACAGACATGTGAAGCACAGATTTTGAAAAAAAATTTTAAATCTTTGCTGTATATTAAGTTGTAATGTGTTGGAAGTTGGATAGTCTATCTACTAGAATTACAAGGGCTGCTTCATTCAGTAAATATACTGAATATTTGGTATTTTTGAGGCCTTAGGCTGGAGACACAAAGATAATAAATTATGACCTCTTCCTTCAAGAAATTCAGAATGGCAAAAGAGACATGTTTGAAAATTACATGGTAATGTTATAGGCACTATGGTAGAAATACGTACCATGATACTTTCTTTCTTTCTTTCTTTCTTTATTTTGGGGAGGGTAACCAGGGACCGAACTGGGGTCCTTGGACTTGTGAGGCAGGCGGCAGAACCACTGAGCTAAATCCCCATCCCAATGATAGTTTTATTTTGATGAAGTGCTCTTGATTCTTGCCTAACTCCTCTTTTCTTCACTTTTTATTTTACCATGTGTGAATAGATGACTCTTAGATTTAGATCTCATCTCTTGAGAGTATCTGTCTCCTACGTTCAGATTTGTACTAAACACCCCCACCTGGATATTTTCTCAGCCTCAAATTTAGTATTCAAAAAACAACCTTCATAGTCCTTCTTTAAACTACTTTTCTTCCTGCTTCTATTTCCCTGTGTATTACAGTTTACCAAGCTTTAAACTTGAGGATTATCTTCGATTGCTGCACCTACATTAGGTTGTTTGCCAATACTCTCAATTCTATCTTGGCATAGTATTTTTCAGTTCTCACTACCACCACCCTCCTTCTTTTTAACCTTAACCTTCCCCTTTGAGTTCCTTCATGACTCCCCATATTGTGTACAGTCTTTAATGTCCTCTAGTTTTTCCAGATGCTTTCCTAATTATTCTCCATACATGTCAGCCAAACTAAAATTATCAGACATTGATTTATTTTTCATACTCTTTCCTCTTGACTCTCTTGCTTCATTTAAGATCTTTACCCTCTACTTTCATCTGTCTTTTCATTACTTGACTCATATTCTACCCTTTCCTCTAATCTTTTCTGATTCTCTTTCTGAAATAGTAATTATCATTTATGGTATCACCCATTAACTTTGGTTCAAAATAGATTTATCCAGTAACTACAATATGCCATATACTGTGCTAGGAGTTAATGTTACAGCTGAAAGAAATAAATTGCCTACCACTGAGCAACTCATAGTCAAATCCTCCATGTGCAGTAATAGTATATTCATGGGCCAGGGATTTAGCTCAGTGGTTTTGCCACCTGCTGTGCAAGTGCAAGGACCCAAGTTCGATTCCTGGTACCAAAAAAAAAAAAAAAGAAAGTATATGCAAGGTAAGAAAGCGAAAAGGTATTAGGTGTGGACAATTTGTGGGGTGAGAAAAATGTTACAAACGAATTTTGTAGATAGATATGAATGTCTCTTGGTGGGTAGAGAAAAGAACAAATGCAAAGGAACAGATGCAAAATGTCATGATATGTTGAATAATTTAGGATTGTTTCTGCATGGAAGTTAGGGGAGGAGTGCTCAAGAGAGACATTGTTGAGAATAAGTAAGGAATACTAAAGCAGGGGATGAAACGCAAAGAGCCTGTTATATTCTACTTAGAAATGTGGACTTTTTCTGTGAGTAGTGCTAAGCCATTGAAGTGTTTTACAAATAGTAGTAACATAGTGTTAAAACATGAAATCACTCTGCCAACTGTGTTAAATGGAATATTTAGAGAAGTGGAGTTTGCAGCACATAAAAGAAGAACTTATATAACAGATCAGGCAGGAAATAATAAAAGTCTGAAGAGTTAGATGATGCTGTTTAGTTTTTTGGTTGTATCTTGTGAGTGGTTCTAGATCAGGAATTAAACTGTGGCCCATTTGCTGAGTCCAATCAACCACCAGTTTTTATGAATAAAGTTACTTTGAAACACAAGCACACCATTTATTTGTCTCTTGTCTGTGACTGCTTTCATGCTCTAATGGCAGAATTGAGTATTTGCAACAGAAAATGTCACCTAAAAAGCCTAGAATACTTACCATCTGGCTCTTTACAAAAACTTTGCTTTCCCTATTCTAAACTTTAAGTCTGTATCTTATGCATCTCTGAATCTCCCACAGAACTCCAAAAACCTAAATACTGAGCACATAGTAGATGTTCAGTAAATATCTTTAAATGAATAAATCTGTATATGTATTCTGAATCAAAACTCTATCCCTAAGTCATAATTCCCCTACATAATAGAAGTGATTTTGTTTTAGCTCATTTTTGTCAATGGTTTGGGTAGTGTGGGAATATAGTATTGGGTCTTCTATAGAATAGATCTATGTAGGGCATATTTTTCATTCTTTTTCCTTGCTGTGGAAATATCTTAGTAAGAAGTGATGGTGACTTCTATAAGAATTATGTAAATGATGTGGAAATTGCTCCATACTGACTCTTCATCTCAGGCCCTGTAAGTGTGTCCTGATACACTACACAATAACAGTTTACTGATTATCTGATTTTTGTATGGATTGGCCACATGATTTTTCTTTTAGTCATTTGTCATTTTTACCACAATAAACCTCTCTGAAGATGTCACTCTGAGCCATTGTATCACTGAGAAATGTGGTTTCTTTAAGAATACATTGATTTATCTACATATGAGGAAAGAGGAATGGTGGAAAGATTGCATAGTCAAGAAGTGTGATTATGCATTACAATTCTTTGGCCTTTGTTTCTGACCTGTCAAGGAGATATTCTACCTATTTTACCAGGTTTTAGTGAGAATGAAACCAAATACTGTACATGGAAGTACCTTATAAACTATATAAATACTAGTTATTTTTGTTATTATTGGCTAATTTGAGAGAATATCACGTACATCTTTTTTCAGTATCTGGGTTTCTGATTTTTATTGATTATTTGCAATTATAATTTTTCTAATTGTAAGATTTAGCTTACACTGTATAGAATATACTATTCTTCAGATTTACAGATAAGTAATGCAAATGGTTGTCATTATTTCCCTCACTTTTGTCATGTACTTAATATTCCTCCTCCTTTCCTTCCCTTTTGTGCTGGGAACTAATATGTATTTATCTGCATTTTTTAAAGTCTGCATTGTCAAAGGGTTTCTAAACATTATCTTCCCAACAGGATGACAGTTCAGTGGAACAAAAGACAGTAGTTAGTAGATAGTTTTCCCAAAGCTGTAGATGTTCATAGCTTTACTTGTAGTGATTGATAAGTTGATTAGAACTTTCAAACAACCACATCATTCAGTTGTTTGTTATGATATACTTTCTTCATAGTATAAAAATGTATTATGTGTTACTTTGCTTCCTTTTCAAAAAATATAGACCTAAACAAAGATTTAGTCAGGTGATTAAACAAGTCTTTGTTAAACTTTTTTTTTTTTTCAGATTTTCTGAAACAACTAGAAAATCCAGCCATAAACACCTGATGTTTATGTCATTTGTACTTGAACCCATGTTTTGAGTTAAATAAAATTCATGTGATATTTGGTTATTTTTATCTCTAAAGAAATTTTTGCTTCAGGTAAAGAAAGTCTATAACCTAAGTTTCTTCTCCAGTCTGTTTTAAGAATAAATTGGAGACACACACACACACACACACATGCACGCGCGCAGGCACTTTACTACTGAATTAAAACTCTGAGTTATATTTGCTGAATTTCAATAAAATTATTTCTTTCCTGTAGACTTTTTGATTAAGGTCATTATACCTTTAATTTAAGAGAGGAAAGATAAGAACTTTGAAAGGTCAGAATTAAAAGGTTATGAAATTTAAGGGTGACCACTTGATATTTGCTAGTGTTGAAATACAAGTTTATGAGTTTCTGTGGATATAAGCTGAAAGATGCTGCCTCTTCTATATTGATTGTTATAAATAAAATACAGAAAATATCTTACTAATTCAAACAAATGAGAAAAATTTTCTAAATGAGTAAAAATTCAGAATTGTTCATTTTTTAAAATAAGATTTTACCAATTTTGATAAAACAGTAAAAGTTGACTGAGGAATTTCTAGAAAATTTATTTTAATGAAGAAGTAGGAATAATTTACCATTGAAATATTACTTATAAATAGGTAACTTTTGAAGTTCCTAGAGTCCTGAAAACAACTTGTTCTAAACGAACTCTTCCACCAGCCATTTAAAAAATTTTTTAAAGTTTTAATTGTCACATAGTAATTGTACATATTGATAGGGTACAATGTAATATTTCAATAGATATATGTAAGCGTAATGATTGGATCTGGACAAATGGCATATCCATCACCTCAAGTATTTATCATTTCTCTATTTGAGAACATTCAAAATCCTCACTATGGGCTATTCTGAAATACACAATGAATTCTCATCAACCATAGCTCCTCTGCTGTACTACAGAACACTAGAAATTATTCCTGCTATCTAATGTGTTCCTATCCCATTAGTCTCCCTCTTAATTCCCTCCCTGCCCTTTAGTTTCTGATAACCACTATTCTACTGTCTATTTCTATGAGATGAGCTTTTTTAGCTTTCAGATAAGTAAGAATATGTGGTATTTATTTTTCTGTACCAGACTGATTGACTTTTAATTCATAGAGTAAATCTTAGTAGTGAAAGGACAAGTTTCACACCAGCTTCAGTGCTAAAATTTTTTTTTTTGGCAAACCCTGAAAAACAAGATTTTTCTTTAAGATTGCTGTATTTTTCTATCATTTGAATTCAATTTTACTGTAAGAGCAAATAAAAATACAAAATGTCATGTTAAAAGTAAGGCTGGTAGCTTCATTGGGATTTTAATATGATTCTGTTAGACCTTGCTTCTTCACCCTTGCATTAGAGTTTGCACGTTATAGACTCCTTTTAGGTGTAATGAGAAGTTTTAATCAGAGTTAAAACCATAACAGTACTTAAGAAGGATATCTTCTATCTGCCCTTTTAATGACTTATGAAAACCACTAGGTTTATACAAATACGAAATAATATGATATGATGAAATGACATGATGTGTATGGACATACTTTATAAACTGTAAAGAACATAGGGCTGAGAATATAACTCAGTGGTAGAGTGAGTTACTAGCATATGCAAGGCCCTGGGCTCAATCCCCAGCACCAACCAAATAAGAGAAGAAAAAACTAATAGAGATTTATATAGTATGAATATCAAAATTCTTTCACGGAGGTGCCTGTTTCCTGTAACACTTTTCCCTTTTTTTAACACTTTACCTTTTTTAAAACTTAGGAATTCCAAATAAATGTGATTAATATTATCAAATACTTAATATATGGGCAATGAAAGCCCTAGTAATACTCTAAATGCCAATTGTTGCATTTAAGTAGATTTGTCTACTTTAATGTTGTTACCTTCTCTTTAAAAGTATGGAAAAAGTGCAAGGACCCGAGTTCAATCCCCGGTACCAAAAAAAAAAAATATGGAAATTAATGTAGTATCTGTATGGCTTATCTCCTCAAAGTTCATGTGTTCAGAGCTTGGTCCCCAGGATAGCAATATTGGGAGGTGCTGTGAAATCTTTGAGGCAGGGCATAGTTTGAGGTCTTTAGGTCATTAGGGCACTGCCCTTGGAAGGGATTGATGTACCTCGTGGCAGGGTTCTTATGAAAGCCTGAGCCTGGTCTCACCCAGTCTCACTCAGGCTTCCTGTTTAGCACTGTGAGTTCTTCCTCCCCCTTGCCAGAGCCTACATCATGTCATTTGGACTTTCACCCTCCCAAACTGGGAGCTAAATGAACCTTTATTTAGAAAGTTACCTTGTCTTGGGCATTGCAGTAGTACAAAACAGCGTATCACAGAGGTTATACACAAATCCATTCTATTTGTAAAAGAGTCTAGGATGGCTGAGGATATAGCTAAGTGATAGAGTATTTGTCTAGCATGTACTTAAAATTCAATGACACTAGAATATGTAGGGAAAAATGGGAAAGACTTATCTGTAATACCCCTTGTCTTTCTTTCCCTCTCCAGAGCCAACATTTGGGATATACCTTTATAGTTTGTTTTCTTCATCTTTACATTCGTATATATATGTAATTTTTTTAGTGGACATTAATGGATTTGTACTACAACCAGGCATGTCCATTCTACATCCTGCGGGTTGGACACACCAGTGTTATAATTTAAAAACTAAAAATTAACAAAAGTTGTTTCGTACCTAAATTAACTATTATATATTTTACACGTGTCCCAAGATAATTCCTCTTCACGCAGTGCACCCCAGGCAAGACAGGCAATTCCAACTCATGGGCTGCAGGTTGGACACCTTTTTTACTTGCCAAAATGTCTTAGCTTTCCATGTCAATACGTGTAAATCTCCTTTGTTATTTTGGACAAATGTGCAGTATTCTAGAATATTACCACAAAATTTAAAATGCAGAATCCATGAGGGCGAGAAACTTATGTTTTATTTAGTGTTATTGTCTTTAATTTCTAGGGCACACAGTAAATAGGATAAATGAATGAAGAATTTGCTTAACATATAGATTACTTCCAGTTATAACTGTTAAAATAATACTGTTGTGAAAACCCTTGTCTGTGCTTCCTTATATACATATGTAAGGGAGTCATTTTCTAGGATAGATATCTACTTGTATTATTGAAGATGAGGTTTCACTGTCTTCTAGCTTTTAGTATTGCCAGTGAAGATATGGTATTAGTCTTATTCTGCTTCTTTATAGACAACATACTTTTGTCTCTCAGAGAGGTTCTTAAAAGACTCTTCATCTTCGGTACTTATAAAATCACAGCAGTTTGTCTTGACAGATCTGTGTTTTTTGTTTTTTGTTTATTTCCACTTACTCTGATCAGCATACGTTGAACTTTTGAAACTATACAGACATATATCTTTCTTGAGCTATGGAATTTTTTTGTTTGTTTCTTCTCTGTTAGTCTTTCTGTTCTCTGCTTCTGTGGTTCCTATTATATCAATGTTAAGACATCTGAATATATCTTCCATGCCTTTTTTTTATCTTTTTGCAGTGCTAGGAATTGAACCAAGGCCTTGCACGTGCTAAGCAAGCACTCTACTGCTGAGTCACATCCTTAACCTCCTTCCATGATTTTTTTTTTTTTTTTTGGTACTGGGGATTGAACTCGGGTCCTGGCGCTTGCGCAGCAGGTGGCGAAACCACTGAGCTAAATCCCCGGCCCCTCCCTCCATGATTTTTAACCTTTCCCTTTCACTTCTGTTATTTCTTGGGGTTTGGAGAAATAAAAGAAATAAATACAAGTGTCCTGTTTGCCATCTTAGTCCAGTTTTCTGACATTGTTCTTGTTATCCCTCAAGGCTGCCTTCTTTTTTATGCCTGTCATTTTATTTGTCTCACTACTCTTTTTCTCAAGGAACATGACTCACATTTTATAATAATTGATGGAAAGTTTGATATTTTCTTAACATATTTTTGTTTTATAGTCAGCTTTTTTTGAAGATGTCTTTTTTAAAAAGCCATGATGCCAGTTTAAAAATTAGAATCTTGCTTTGTGCTATTGGTAGTGAGCCCAGTCACATTAAAAAATATGTATCTTAATCACTCATCGGGTCCAGGCAGCTCCAAGTGCTGATAAAGGGCTTGATGCTTCTCCAGATGTCTGTTAGCTCCAGGTGCAGTAAGCAGACTATTCGGAGCTGGCACCTAGGTTCTCAAGCACACCGTTTCAGAGTCTTGGTCTCATAGTGTAATGGTTTTTAAACCTGGTATAGTATCAGAATCATTCTGTGACATTGTCTTTTCTTTTTCTTTTTTTTTTTTTTTCCTTTTTGGTACCAGGGATCAAACTTGGAATCTTGCACTTGTGAGGCAGGTGCCGGAACCACTGAGCTAAATCCCCGGCCCTCTGTGACATTTTCTAATACTATAAATCTCTAGACCTTTCACTGGACATATTATGTTGGAATCCTGAGGAGCCTGAACATGTATATCTTTAAAGTCTCACTATGTTACCCAGGCTGTTCTTGAACTCCTAGACTCAAATGATCCTCATGTCTCAGCCTCTTAAGTAGCTAGGAGTACAAGCACACACCTGGCTGTGCTTTTTTTTTTAAAGGCAATAAATGTTTCTTTGGATAGATGTGTTGTATATACTGAACCCATCCCCTCTCAATAGACGTTCAATATACTTTCAGTTCTGTTCTTAGAAACTACTGTAGTAGATATTCTTTGGTGCCTATAACTTCGTACATATTTGTGAGTATATTTATGGAATAAATTCCTGGATGTGGAATTGTTCAGACAATGTATATATGTGAATTTGACATGCTTTTGTTTGTTTCCATTTTTGTGTTAGAATACACACCATAAAATTAATTATTTTTTGAGACAGGATTTCACTCTGTAATTCAGAGCTCTCTATGTAGCCCAGGCTAGCTTCAAACTCTAGGCAATCCTCCTGCCTCAGCCTCCCAGGTGCTGGGATAACAGGCATGCAACACCACACCTGGCTCACAACATAAAATTTATAATCTTAACCATTTCTAAATATGCAATTCAATGCCATTAAATATGTCCATAATTTTGTGAAATCATCACCACCATCCACCTGTAGAACTATTTTATCTTATAAAACTGAAACTATGCCCAACAATAATTCTCCATTCTCCACTCCCCACCCCAGTCCCTGGCAACCATCATTCTAGTTTGATTCTATGATTTTAACTACTATAAGTATCTTATGTAAGTAGAATCATACAATATTTATCTTTTTGTGATTAGCTTATTTCATTTAGCATAAGGTTCTCAAGGTTCATCCATGTTCCAGATGGATATACCAGAGTTCCCTTCTTTTTAAAGACTGAATAATATTCCATTGTATGTATATACATTTGGCTTATCCATTGATCCATCAGTGGGCGCTTAGGTTGCTTCCATATTTAAGCTACTGTAAATAATGCTGCTGTGAACACAGCTGAACAAATATCTCTTCAAGACCCATTTTTTTTTTCTTTTGGGTATACACCCAGAAGTGGAATTGCTACATCATATGGTATTCTAGTTTTCATTTTTTGAGGAGCCACTGTTTTCCAGAATAGCTATCCCATTTTGTATTTTCCCACTAGTACATATATTTCATTTTCTCTATGTCCCTGTCAACACTTATTATTTTCTGTTCTTGTTCTTTTTTTAGAGATAGACATACTGATGAATATGAGGTGAAATCTCATCATTTTGATTTGCATTTCTTTAATGGTTAATGATGTCAGGCATCTTTTTGTGTGTTTTGATCATTTGTATTTTTTTGTAGAAATTTCTATTTAAGTTTTTGGTTTTGTGTGTTGAATTTTAAGCGTTCTCTAAATATTCTGGGCATTAATCCCTTTTAATATGTGCAGTTTGCAAATACTGAGTTTTTTATTTGTGACAATGTGCTTTTTAATTTTCAGGTATTAGGTTCTTATGTTAAAAATATTCCCAGATCTTGAAAGTCTTTACATTTTGTGTTCAATTCTACTTAGGCCAGTACTAAAGTGGAAGTGGACATGGAGAAGGCAGAGAGCCTGCAAGTAACAAGAGGAGACTTCCTCGCTTCGCTGGAGAATGATATCAAACCAGTAAGTATCCATGTTGAATGATGTATGAGTGATGATAATTATAGCTTAGAAGAAAAATAAGTGCCATTTTACTCAGTATTACAGATGGTTCTTAAATAGTTTTCTTTTTTTCTTTTTTTCTTTTTTTTTTTTGGTACCAGGGATCGAACTTGGGTCCTTGCGCTTGCGCAGCAGGTGGCGAAACCACTGAGCTAAATCCCCGGCCCCAAATAGTTTTTAAACAGACCTCAGGTACACAAAATTTGATTAATCTTATTCTTTAATTTCTGACACAGTTTTGTTAGCTTATATGATTATATGTGTAAAATAAAATATGAAGGGGCTGGGGATGTAGCTCAGTGTCACTGCACCTGCCTGGCAAGTGCAAGGTCCTGAGTTCAATCCCTGGTACCAGAAAAAAATAATAATAAAATATACAGAGTTTGTAACTTTCTGGGAATTGCTATCTCATTAAATATTTTAATTACCAAGAATCATTCATAGCTGGCTGGATATGGGGGCACACACCTGTAATCCTAGTACTCTGGGAGGCTGAATCAGGAGGATTACAAGTTTGAGCTCAACCTAGACAACTTAGCAAGAGCAAGACACTATCTCACAATAAAAAACAAAAAAAGGAACAGAGATGTGATTTAGTAATGAGATCCTGGGTTCAAACCCTAGTACTGCAAAAAATTAATTAATTAATTAATTAAACAATAATAATAATGCAATCCCCTACAGCTAAACACCATATTCGTTACTGACTAGTATTGTCTGATCACCAGTTTATCCATTTTCTGTCAATGAGCATTTGGAATATTACCAATTTTTTATTACAAACAAGTGCTGTTGCAAGTATTCTTTAATAAGTTTCTCTTATATATATTTAGGAATAAAATTATAGGGTTGTGGTTATATGAACATCTAACTTTAAAAAATAATTTTAAATTGTTTTCTAAGAGGTTGAACCAATTAGCACTACCTCCAAAAATCTAAAAAAGATACTCTTGATCTACATCTTCTCCAATACTTGTTTTCAACTGACTTGATTCTGTCATTCAGTTGAACATAAATTCCATCAGATTCATTTACATATTACTTTGAAATTAAGTAGTTCTTTATATGTATATTCTATTTAACTCTTTGAAATGCTGTTCATAATTTATTATTTTTTGTTACATTGTTTTTTATTTTTATTTTATTTGCATCAGTTCTTTATGTCTTATTTTCTCGCCTTTTGGTTATGTTAAATACACGTAACAAAATATACCATCTTAACCATTTTACGTTTACAGGTTGGTGATATAAACACATTCATTATGTCATGTAACCTTTACCACTATCTGTCTCACAGTTCTTTCATTTTGTACAACTGAAATTCTAGATCCATTAAAGAGCAAATCCTACTTTCCCCTCCTTCCCAGCCTCTGGCAACCCTGTGTCTCCTGTTTCTAGAATTTCAACTACTCCAAGCAGCTTATATAAGTGAAATCAAACAATATTTGCCCTTTGGGGACTGACATATTTCATTCAGCATAAGGTTCTGAAGTTTTGTGCACATTGCAGCATATACAGTTTCCTTGTTTTTAAACACTGAATAATGTTCCATTGTATGTATATACCACATTTTTCTTATCCATTTGTCCATCAGTGGACACTTGGATTGCTTCCACATCTTAGCTGTTGTAAATGCTGCTGTGAACACGACTGTACAAATATCTCCTCAAGACTCAGTTATCTGCTTTTTTGGGTATATACCCAGAAGTGGAATTGCTAGATCATACGGATTTCTAGTTTTCATGTTTGAGGAACCACCAGAGTGGCTATCCCATTTCATATTTTCCCAGTAATGCACATGGGTTCTAGTTTCTCTATGCCTTTGTCAACACTGTTTTTTGTCTTTGTTTTTTGATAGTAGCTGTCCTGATGAGTATGAAGTGAAATCTCATTGTAGTTTTGATTTATATTTTCCTAATGATTACTGATACTGAGAATCTTTTCTTATGCTTATTGGACATTTGTTATATAGTTTCACTAATTATTTGTTGCAAATATCTCCTTTAAAGACAAAAGTCAATTTGTTTTAGCCCTACCTTTTATGACTGTTAATACTTTTAAATATAATAACTTTAAAAAGTTACTGAGCAGTGAACATGGTTTAATCTTTTGCTGTTATCATTTGTAGTAATTACCAAAAATGTTAGAGCCCAGCCTATTACAGTATTTTTTTAATGGCAAATAATTTGGCCATGGGAAGTAAGACCTAAAAATTTACTTTTATTTGTTCCAAGAGTCTATAGGATAAAAGAAAAATCATGAGATATATAAGGAAGACAAATATATTTATTTATTGTCTTGGAGAGTCACTCTTTTATGTTCAGGCATCTTTTTTTTTTTTCGTTTTTGGTTTTTGGGGGGTTTTTTGAGACAGGGTCTCACTTTGTACTACAGGCTGACCTCGAACTCATGGCAATCTTCCTGCCTCACCTTCCCAAGTGCTGAGGTTCCAGGCATGCACCACCATGCCTGGCTATGTTCAAGTATCTTAAAGCTTCTTCTATGAGTCTTGGATTATTACTTGGAAGAATTAAAGACACAAGCCTGCCAACCTATATATTTCCTTGAACATCCATTCAACCTGTCTTTATCAGGCTCCTCCCTTATAAATTTTTATGAAGCAACTAAATCTGTCACATCCAGGCCAAAAAATGAGGACTTCCCTCTGTACTCAGGAATCAAAGTACTGGTATATACAAGGACACTACCCAAAGAGTGATATGAAAAATGATTTGGGGGCAAAGTAGTAGAAATATGAAAATTCAATACCTCGAGATGTAAGTTCTAAAGAACTGTTAAAATTAATCCATATATCAATCAAAACTTAACTTTTTAGGGATGTGATAATCTTTAAAAAGTTAAAATTCTCAAGATACGTGATCTTTACATGTACGTTGTATTGTAACCTTATGAAGAGCCAATTCAATTGTAAGTAATAAAATTAAGTACTTTTTAATTTTATTTTATTTTTTTTTGGTACTGGGGATCAAACTTGGGACCTTGCGCTTGCGAGGCAGGCACTGGAACCACTGAGTTAAATCCCCAGCTAACTACTTTTGATAGTTATTTTGATGGGAGTTAGAATCTTCTCAATTAAAAGTTGAAAATGAAGAGGAATGTGATTTAAGCTTCAATATATAGTGGATAAAAATTATTATATATGGGCCGGGGATTTAGCTCAGTGGTTTCGCCGCCTGCTGTGCAAGCTCAAGGACCTGAGTTTGATCCCTGGTACCAAAAAAAAAAAAAAAAAAATTATTATGTATGATAATTCCTTTATAAACTAATTGCTTTTTTTTGTTGTCTGTACTGGGGATTGAACCCAGGGCCTTTGCACTGAGCTATATCTCCAGCTTTTTTAGACGGTCCTCACTAAATTGCCCAAGCTGGGATTGAACTTGAGATCCTCCTGACTCAGCTTCCCAGACTGCTGGGATTACAGGCATGTGCCATTTAGAAATCACTTTTATTTCCTTTTCCTAACCCTTCAGACTTGCTTTGTAGCTTCCTATTTCTGTATCATTCTAATTTTTTATATTTATAAATATACATTTATGTGAGTGTCATTTAACTTGTGTCCCCAACCACATAGTTGATGTAAACATGATCATTTCCATTTTGTATTCACATTTTAATCTATAGCACCTATAGTCAGTGTTAGGATTATTTCCCCGTGTGCTGAGCTGTTTCTAATTTCTAAGTCCATAATCACTTTTTCTCTTTGCTCTTAACAGAATGGCCACAACCTGCATACTCTTTATAGGAACAAGTATATTGGAACATACTTTCTCTCAAGGATTATGATTATGAGGCTTTGGGCTCTGGTACAATCTGAGCCTAAATCTTTTTTTTTTCCCATTAGTGCTGATATTCTTAGTGTATATTAAGTGTATATTACTTTTTTTTTTTTGATACTGGTGTTAAACCTAGGGCCTTTGCACTGAGGTACATCCCTAACCCTTTTTTATCCTTTATTTTGATACAGGTTCTCATTAAGTTGCCCAAGCTGAGCTTGAATTTACAATCCTCTTGCCTTAGCCTCCCAGAGTACTGGGATTACAGACATGTGCCACTAATCCCACCTTTACTCATCTTTTGTATCTTTCAATGTTTTATTTTTTTCAAGAGGTTCATATGTTTATTAGAACCAACCTTTTAGTGCAGAGCACAGGAAAAAAAAAGAAAAATCAGATTCCCAGTAGAACATATCCAGCTGTCAAGACATTTCCAGCTTAATACAGTAAGATGCTAATGAGCTTGATGCATAAATATGTTTGTTATCTCATGTGCAATTCCTTATAGACACAGCTTGGTTCTTCCCCAATTTCTGCTTTTACAGTTGTGTCTGATTTTATTACCAGTTTTTTACCAAATCCATTGGGGAATGGAATGATTTTGATTTTGTTTTATAGCCAGAAATTGCTTGATCCTGAAAGGCTTGTGAAAAAACATGGCAAGGAATGGGGTCAAGCATATACAACACAATGGAGAAGAAAAGAAGTAGTTTTAATTTTTAATACTAATGCTCAAAATGCTTTAAACTATCCCTTTTCTCAATAGGCATTTGGCACAAACCAAGAGGATTATGCAAGTTACATTATGAATGGAATAATCAAATGGGGTGACCCAGTTACTCGAGTTCTGGATGATGGGGAGCTTTTGGTCCAGCAGACTAAAAACAGTGATCGTACACCACTGGTTAGCGTTCTTTTGGAAGGTGAGAAAGAATTATGAGATGACCTTAAAAGGTTTTTTTTAATGTATTTTTAAAAGCCATTTGGCACATTCCAGAAGGTAAATGATTTTCAGTTCTAAACCTGGTTTATGATCTAAGAATAGTAAACCATACTACATACCAATATTTGTACAAATTAAAATTTTCTTGGGGTGAGTGCTATTGATGAATGATAGCAACTAATTTTCCTGTAGGATTGTATCTAAATTTCTCTGGTACTTAATAGACTGAATAGTACCACATAGAATTTGATTCAATTAAGTAAGTGTATACTGACGATTTGCTATATTTTAGAGCTTAGACTAGTTGCTGCAGATACAAAGACATTCAAATTTTAATCTAATCATGAAAAAAAACTTGTAAATAAATTCCTGAATACAGTATATATGTGTAAAGGTGTGTATGAATACAAGTCATTTTGCCCAGGGTGAACAGAGAAAACTAGAGGTGATGTTTAATTTAGACCTTGAAGAATCAGTTAGAATTTTATCATAAAAGGGAAAGAACATTCCATTCATAAATATTTATCTTATGATTATGATTAGTATGACAACAGAAAAGTTCAGTGAGGCCAGTGACAAGCAAACCTAAGCCCTTGGGTCAGAGTGTGAGGGCTCCCTGAAAGAAGCACAGTAAGCCAGAGCCCAAGAGATGAGGAGGTGGCCAGACTACATAACTGGGGAAGATGTTCTGGGCTTAGGGACTAGCATGTAAAATATCACTGGTCAGGATCGAGCTAGAGACAGAAAGATTGGGGAGCTGCAGTATACAGGAACCAATTCTCACAAAGTCTCATATTTTATGTTAAAGACTTAGACTGTATCTTAAGGACAGTGGAAAGCCATTTATAGGGTTTCAAGTAACAAAGTCATGTAATCAGATTTTTATTTTCAACATATTATGAGTGCTTTATGATGGGGAATGAATTGGAGGGGCAAAAAGACATCAGAAGACTAATCTTTTTTTTTTTGGTACCGGGGATCAAACTCTGATCCTTCCACTTGCAAGGCAGGTGTCAGAACCACTGAGCTAAATCCCCAGCCCGGGAAGACTAATCTTTAGAAGAAGTTGCATTGTCTTAATTGAAGCTGCTTGTGGTTTGAAGTAATGTAGTGGCAGTGGAGATGGAGATAAGTAGACTAATTTGAAAAATAGGTAGAATAAAAGGAATTTGATAAAAAATTATCAATTAATTATCAATCATAATAGGCTAACATTCTTTTAGCCCTTCCTATTTGCCAGTTACTCTATTATTACTTTATATATATATTATCTAAGGCCTGGGATTTAGCTCAGTGGCACCACACCTGCCTCGCAAGTGCAAGGTCCTGAGTTCGACCCCCTGTACCAAAAAAGAAAAAAAATTAATATATACATATTATCTAATTTAATCCTCACTTCAGTCCTATGAGAGTAGATGCTGTTGTTATCCTTATCTTATAGATAGGGAAGCTAAAGCTTAGAAATACTGTTTAGATTGAATATGGGCAAAAGTATCATGCATGACCTCCAGGTTTTGAGCATTATACAGCTGGGTAAATGTTGCTGTTTGCTAAAATTGAAAACACTTGTGAAGCACATTTCAAGAAGAAAGATCATGAGTTCAATTTTTAATGAATTCTAGGTTTTTATAGGATAATTAAATTAGAAATATTGAATGTCCTATTGGACATGTAGGTCTGGGACTCAGAAAAGTGGTCTGGATGACAATAGATTCGTGATTTTTCAGTGTATCCACTGCCCTTGAAGCCAGAGGTGTCGATGGACTTATCTACAGAAAGGGTATAGTGCCAGTCACACACCTGTATTCCCAGCATTCAGGAAGGCTAAGGCAGGAAGATCAAAAGTTTCAGCCCAGCCTGGGCAACTTAACAAGTTCCTGTCTCAAAATTTAAAAAGTGGCTGGGGACATAGCTCAGTGCCACCAAAAAAGAAAAGAAAAGGGAAAAGAAACAAAGGATGTGAGTTGAGATGTAAAGGGGTCTTAGAGCTTATTTCTGAAGTGTGTTAACAGTGTAGGACTAAATAGAGCAGGAAGAGTTGACAAAGGAGACTGCGCAAGAGCAAGCAGAGGTAAGGGAGGAGGGAGAATATGCTGTCACAGAAGTCATGAAAAGAAAGGTACAGTATTTCAAAAAAGGCATCATCACTTGTACCAAATGTTCCTAAGAGGCCAACAAAGACAAAGTATGTATTGGGGTTGGTGACATTAAGGTCATTGGTGACCTTGATGGGAGCCTGATCAATGTAGTGAGGGTGGGAGTGATAGTTTGGTAAGGGATGGATGAAGAGTGGAGCAGCCTATGTGGGATGAAGTCCAGAAAGTGTTTTTATTTTATTTGTTGAACTATCAGACCAGAGAATGTTTAAATGTTTTTGAAAAAGCTTCAGAAAAGCATTCAGGAAGAGGCTGAACAATTGGGAGAGAGAAACAGTCACTAATGTCAGATTCCCAGGAAGATAGTAAGGAAGGATTGACTGGTTTATGTTTAAAAGAAGGGCACGTTTTCTAATGCACAAGAGGGAAAGGTGGGGTTGTCTAAATCCAAGTTTTGTAGATTAGGTTGCCTTTATGAGAAAGCCAGAGTCTTTAGAATTCCACCTTTTTATGATACCTTTGCTTCTAATAAGACAGCTTTTCCCTGCCCCCAGTATCTTCTAAGAAGATTTTTTTGTGTTGTTAAACAGATGATTTGATAGAATAACACAAGTACTGATACACGTTTGAATGCATTCTGTCTTTAAGAAGCAAAACCCTTACACTTTATATATTTAGCCAGAAATTTGAAAGATTAAGTCTATGTGAGAAAGAAAAAAGGCACGTATGTATTTCACCATATTTTCAAGAAATGCTAATCAGTTCATTAAGTTTAGTTGCTAATAAATAAAAGGAAACATGTCTGTGATGAAACTGTCAGGAAATGTTAATGAGCAACTAGTCGAGACCTCTGCGTGTCATGGATAAAAGTTTAAACTTGTTTGATTCCTCTTTGCTTAGGTTGGCTTTTTTCCCCTACCTTGCTCATATCTTCACGCAGGCCCTCCTCACAGTGGGAAGACTGCTTTAGCTGCAAAGATTGCAGAGGAATCCAACTTCCCCTTCATCAAGATCTGTTCTCCTGATAAGATGATTGGCTTTTCTGAGACAGCCAAATGTCAGGCCATGAAGAAGGTATCAAGATTGTTAGTTTCATTTTAATTTCCTGTCTCTTAGATATCTGTGTGTGTGCATGACCACACAAATAGATAAACACATATGTATACTTTTGTATACATTGATATAAAACCCATAGCAACTTTGTTCTCAAGTGCTGCTAAAATTATCAACAGAATTTGGGGGAAAATATTGATCTGTTTTCAATTTTTACAACTTTGTTTGCCTTTCTTTCCACTCTCCTTCCTCCCACCTCTTTCCTGTGTGAGTGTGTGACTGAGGTGTGAACCCAGGACCTCACATCTGCTAGGCAAGCACTCTGTTACTGAGCTATACCCCCAGCATATTTTTTTAACTTTCTAATGTACTTTCATGCACTTTTTAAAAGAATATCTTCCAAATTACTCTTCGCTTAGTACATATTAAGATTCATTTTCATTTCTTAAATTCATATCATTTGCTTGAAAGAAGCATAGTTAGAATTTTTTTTAATTCTTTCATTTTTGTACAAAGTCAACCTGTTTAGGATTAAGTTTGAAAAAGAACTAGGAATACACTCTCAAATACCCCTCAAAAAGGATAATTAGGTAACAATCATAGTCTGCTTGGCAACTTAATGTAGTCTTCATTCTTCTTCCTGCTTTTAGGTGCTATTTATCACCTTCATAATATGACCCACTTTGAAATATCAGTAAAATTTGAACATCAGCGAATAGAATTCTAGAGCTGAAAGGACTGTAAGATCATCTGGCCCTTCTCTCTTACATTCAAGCAAGTGCCAAAGGAGGCATCTAGAACAATAGATTCTATTAAATAGACTGGTCTCAGTGATTAAGATGTAATGGCTTTTCATCTCACTTGGTAGCCAGTTGTTGCCTTTAATACACTAGCTTTGCATACTCCCAGGTAGTGCAAAAATTATTTTTCATGTCCAGCTGAAGTATTTAACTTAAATTTTTTTGTGTGTGCTTGAACTTTTATACATATGAATCAACTATAATTCAATGAAATAATGGAAAAATCAGCACCAGGGAAGAGAACCTTACAAATTGAAGTGCTGCCCACTAAAGACAGCTCAGGGTATTCTTCAGCCTTGCTCCTACCACTTACTCTACAGTGATGTTTGTGATGAGTGTTTGCAATAGATGCAGGAAGCAGGATTTCAGCCAGAAGCACTGAAACATCAAGACTTATAATACTCTATATAAAGACCTTTGAAACTAAGTGTGAATGAGAGGGAAATGTTGTCAGAGACAGAAAAAACTTAGAATATGATATTCTGTTTCTGAGATGAAACCAATAGTACCTATCTTTCCCAGGAATATCTGGATAAAATAACCAGGACTAGTAATTCCTTAGATTAAGTAGGTATTGTCTTTGTGTGTTCTTTTATTTTGTGTTTGTTTGTTTTCAGTGCTAGAGATTGAACCCTGGGGCTTGTGCATGCTAGGCAAGTACTATATTCTAAGTTATAACTTTGTCCAGCCTGCCCCCCTCCATGTTTGTTTTCCCTCTAAAAGAAAACCTTTTTTAAATAATAGCCCTTGGAGCTGGGTATGGTGGTACATGCCTGTAATCCCAGCAATCGGGAGGCTGAGGCAGGAGGATTGCCACCAATTCAAGACCAGCCTGGACTACACAGTGAAACCCTGTCTATAAACATAAACAAAAGCCCTTGGAATCTGTGGCTGGTAAACTTCCCACCTGATTAAAAAACTAATGCTGTTTGCATTTGCCTAAATCATCTATTCCTCTGCTTGTTCAAAAGTAGTAGTCTTCTGTGCAGATGGTAAATTACTCCATTGCTTTTCACCAGCTGCCAGCTTCTACCTCAGATGTACTCTAAAGTGTGGGTGGATGGTCCTAGTTATTTTATAAAGTTTTTAAAAAGTACTTTGTGCTTCTGCAGATCAAAGCTGCTTTGTGATGTGAGATATTATCATTTTTATTATTTTAATCTCTTGCAAATTGACTTGAGGGGGGAAGGTAATACACACTGATTTTAGAGGCTTAAATGGTTAAGTTAATGGCTTAATAACTTACGATTTAATCTTTAAATTGTTGAGTCCTTTCAAGGTAGTTTTAGATGAGTAGATGGCTAAGGAATATAAAAATAAGTGTCTATACAAGCTCACTCAAAATCATTTCAATTCATGATTCACTGTCTGGTTCATCCATGCACTGTACAAAAATTGTTTCTTTTTCAACAGTGTAATAAATTCACATTATACATTTTGGTTTTTCCTTAGGGGAGAAAATATTATTCTCTGTAACTAAAGTTCAGAACAGAGAAAAGAATGAAGCATAGGTGTCTTGGAAATATATTGGAAATATTACAAATCTTTCCCTGCAAATACTTTTCACATTGTTACCTAATGATAGGTTGACAACAGCCTGAGGTCTCAAACCAGTCTAAAGATGCTAAGTCTTCCAGGTTGTTTTTGAAAATGAAATATAAATGCCATTCTTTAGCTGTTCTAGTTTACCTCCTACCACTGTTCTTGTCCGTGCATTTTTCAGTATGAAGATGGAAAAATGCTTTAACTTTTTTTTCTCAGAATACAAATAATGTATATCTTAGCATTCTGGAGAAAACATTTCTTTCCAAGTGTCACAGCATTTTCTGATTACAAAAATAATTTATAAAACACAGAAAAGGACATAGAAGAAAGTTTAAACCTGTATTTGTATTTGTTCTTCAGTTCTTTTTTTCTACACACACTGTATTAACATTCACATTGACATATTGTTTTAAACCTGCTTCTTTCACTCAGGATATTATAAGCTTTTTCAAATGTCATTAAAACTTATTTCCATATTATGTTAAATTACATCTGTATAATATTCATTTAACCAATCCATTTTTATTGGATATTTAGGCTATTCCAGGTTGTTTTTCTCACAGTTAAAAATATTATATAGAATTACCAAAGAAGAGAAATCATTGCCCCTTGTTTTCTTACTAGATTTTTTTTAGATTAGCATCACATGGCTGAGCATTTGGGTTTAGGATTCAAATAGATCTGAATTTTAGTCCTGGTTCTACCATACTTGCTGGCTTTATGACCTTGAATAAGTCACTTGCCCGATAACCCTCTATTTCTTTCATCTGTAAAATGAAGATAATATCTATAGCTGCCTCATAAGGTTATTATGGAAATTAAATGAAATGGTAGTTTATGTAAAGTATACTACCTGGGACATAAAGTATACCTGGGACATAGTATGTACTCAGTAAAGTATAGCAGTTGTTTTTACTTATTATTTTTGCATGTACATTTCTGGTTACTTCCTTAGGATAGATTCTCAGAATCAGGATTGCTAAGGTAAAAATAATATTTGAAAGATTTTGGCACATATTGCCATCAAAAGTGTTACATAAAGATATTAATGATTGAACTAGGCGTGGTGGTACACACTGGTAGTCTGAGCACTGGAGGCTGAGGAAGAAGGATAGCAAGTTCATGACCAGCTTGGGCTACATAGTCAATTGCAGGCCAGCCTGGATTATATACCAAGACCTTATCTTAAAAAAAAAAAGATACTAATGATTTACAAAGCCCACTCCTTTAGAAAGTTGTATTAATTTACACTTGCAACTCCATCATTTGAGAGTATGAATTTCTTAGAGTTCTCATTCTCACTTGAGGTTATTAAAGTATTTTTTGCCATTTTGTTAGGCAAAAATGGTTGGTGTTTACTTAGCTACGTCTTAATGTCTAAATGTTAAAAGACCTTTCAAAATACTTTACAATGACAGTAGTTTGTGAAGCTCAGAAATAATGTAATCCATCTATTTTTATTAAAGAGGGGTAGTCTGAATTAGTTAATTCACAAAAAATCTTTATATACAGTACAGTTTCATTACTTAAACCAAGAGATGAGAATTTTTATCAGTAGAGAGGGTTGTTAGGGTTACTTTAAGGAGTATATGAGATTTCATTATAATTACACCGTTGCTTCTTTTTCACAAAAGGATGGTGCTGAAATACATGAAAGTTGTTTTTTCTCAATTAATTTAAAATTTACCTCATACTACTTTAATTTGGTAGGTATATCCTTTCTCTATGTATAAACTCCTCAATAGTGCTATAGTATGTATGAAGTTTTAGCCTCACATGGGGCACGGTGTGGGGGGAGTATGCCATATGTTCCATTAAGAGATTTGAGGTATTCAAATATTCCTCTTCCATTTTCTGTTTGCTTCTCAAACTGGATCTGTTTAAATTTTAATTCCTTTATCCATTTTTTGCATCTATGCTTTTAAAATCTGTTTTAATAGTTCATAATGACATTAAATGAACAAAAGAACAAAGCAATAGAGTTTAATTTTAGCTAATTACCTAATCTTTATGCTTTCCAACTACATAATCAGTATAGCGATGAAATAGAAAAATTGGATACAAGTAAATTGTTTAAACAAAATTAAGTAAAATTATCAATGATTTACAAAAATATATTAGTAATAACACGATATAGCTGTATTTTCAAAGGATTGAAAATTAATGGAAGAAATTTTCCTTTCCACTAGCTTTGCAAGAAGGAAATAATCTTCTTTGAATATCCTCCTGTAAATCCCACTGCAAATTGTAGTCTGCACAGAACAGAATCAGGGTGCCTAATCCTCCTCTTTTCATGGTTTAGTCTATACAAAGAGGAGAGCTGGAAATTGGATCTTTTGACAGCAGTTACTAAGCAACAGAATTTGGATGCTTTTGGTTAACATCCTAATATGTCATGTAGCTGATTTGTTTTCTAGTTTGTGCACATATTAGCTAAGAAAAATGGATACTCCAGAAGTGACTAGAGGTCCCTCTATGGCTGGGAGGTGGGTGTTTGTTGTCATTTTGTTTAATACACTGTGTCTTTTTACATTTTTATCAGTTTGACACATAAAGGAACATGGTACAGAACTTTCAGACTTTGCAACTTTTTATTTTTTTATTTTTTTTTGGTACCGGGCCTCGAACTCGGGTCCTTGCACTTGCGCAGCAGGCAACAAAACCACTGAGCTAAAT